GTACCGCAGCATCTGTGGCGCTGAGTGGAAATGGCGTGGTGGCAGCTTGCAGGAGCAGGGTCTGAGGATGGACCCTACCTGCTGATCTGTTCTCCATGGATAGCAAATAAATACTGCCCGGGAGATTTTAGCTACGCGGAGGTCACTACCTGTGCAATGTCACTGTGGTGAGCCAGCATTGCCCAACCTGAGCTTCTGCCCGTCCTGCTTAAACGGACGAAAAGAAGGGCTGCTGCAGAAAGAAGGACCCTCCTTGTTTTCTGCCATCATTCTTTTGTGTATAGTGCGTAAGAAAATAACTCTTTTGACATCAAGAATTTGTCTGAGTTTGAGGCTATTTTGTTTTCCCTTCTCCCACGTGGTCAAAGCTGCAAATGTCCACTCTTAACCTTCTTTGAACAGTGGGATACCTGAGTGATAAGAAGTGACTGTCAGGAAGCCGGATGTGTTTGCTGCACACTGTTGTGGCAAGTAAAGGGCGTGCACAGCATGTCGTGCTTCCCCACAGAAAAGGCTGCAGGCCCCAGAGAAATCCCTTGATACAAAAATCTGATCTGTCCAAGAAGAAACGCTGTCAGCTGTCTGGTACCACATCCTGAGCTCCGGCTTTAATCCCAGCTCTGTTGCTGAGGATATGAAATCTGAGACAGGGAGAGAGAAAATTATAATATTATGGTTTAATCACCAACTCATATTATTTAGGAGAATCGCTTAAGAAGTTCCTGAGATCTGCATACACTGGCAATGCAAATTCAGTTGGAAAAACATAACTAGGACTGCTTCTCCTTTATTGTCAGGTCAACAGAGGAGGCTTAAGAATCTGCCAGTGCTTTCATCAAAGGGAAGGAAGTATTTAGTCAAAATAGTTTAGCCGCTTGCTTTTGATTTATGAAATCCAACTTTGCTGTTGGACAGAATGGATTAAATGGTGATAGGGCCATTATAATATTTTAGCATATTTTCTGTGATTGCAACGGAGTTGTCAAAGCCAGCTCATGAATTGCAAAGGGAGAGCCATGCTGTGGCAGCTCCTCCTGCTGCGATCTCCGGGAGGAGAGGCACCATGGCGAGTAGGTCCGTGATCGCCTGGAAAAGTGATGTAAAGGGAATATGGGAGATGATTGCAACCACCACTCTGGTCCAGAGCCTTTACCACTGTGGAGTAACATGATAGTGATGATAAATGAAGCTTCACAGCTTGCAATGGCCAGGAGTAGCTCCCCTAGTCCCTGACAAAAGCTGCCCCCATGCAGGCTCGACTGATGATAAATGAAAGGTGATGTTCACTCGGGATGGTTAGATGTAGTAGACAGAAGGAAATCAACTCTAAGAACAGTCCACTCTGGGGGGGTGTCGGTGAATCGGTAGAAATGTTGCTCAGACCTTGAAGGCAAAAACAGTGGTGGTGGTGCTGCAGCTACATGGGCGGACTGCCCGTGCTCAGCTTTACATGGCAGGAAGGAGCAATCTCTGGTTTGCCTGTGAGGGAAACCGGGGTGGATAAAACACTGAGACGTGGAGCAGGAGGGAATCTGTCCTTTTTAAGCTTCTGAGGCCTGGTGGCTTGTTAAGCAAAGCTCTGATTGTTGATTGTAGAGAGCATGAGCTTGGGTAGTGAAAACGGAGGGCTCTGAAATGGTCCTTTCCCCCATCTTGCTTGCGTCCAAGCGTGCAGAGAACTTTGGAGCTTTCACACGTATATGAAGAAGGAAACATAGCAAAATTCGGCAATCCCTAAGGGCCAAATTCCCTGGGAAATTCTGGAGTGAGCTGAGGGTTTAGGAATAAAGGAGTCAGTATTTATGCTTAGGGCCTTTTCCAAACTCTAGTGA